GATGACGTCATCCGCACCTTCTGCTGCTCGCGCCGGCCGCTTTCTGTTGGAACTCCGCAGGCCACCAGGGATCGCTCCACTGGCTCTTGATGTTCCGCCGCGCCGCCTCGTCTCTGCCACCAGGATCCGCCGTCACCGCCGCCGTTGCTGCCATTGTTGTTGTTCCTTTGCTGCTGCCGCCACCGCACACCACACTCCTCGGACGAGGGGGGTGCCCCTACCCTACTAAGGGTAGGTTCCCATTCATCTACTCACCCTTTAACGGGCTTTTGAACCGCTGGGTGGGCGGGAGCTGGGACGCAGGCCGGGAGCTCACTCCGGCCACGGTGGGGCTCGAACAGATGTTCGGCCAGATGTTAAGGAAGGCTGCATTAACAGCCTGCGCCAGCCTCCCTCTATCAGCTTAACCTAAGCCAAAAAGCAGGTACCTCCTGTAAAAGAGCAACAGCTCTGTGCTCTGTGCCAAGCCACTTGCACTGTTGTGCCCTGGTTGGCTGGTTATGGGCCTGGCATGGCCAAAACAGGGCTATCAGCATGACTTCTGCTCTTAGGTGTATAATCCTAATCACTCTTTGAATTAGCTGAGTGGGAGGGAAGGCATACACTAGTTGATCTGGCCAGTTGCAGCTTAGAGCATCTATTCCTGTTGCCTGAGGGCATCTTGTTCTTGTCACAAACCTGGGCACTTGATGATTAAGTTTTGATGTGAAGAGGTCCACCTTTACTGCACCAAATCTGTGACAGATTAGGTGGAAGGTTTCCTTGTTCGACATCCACTCTGGCTGATTGAGAGAGCTCTGGCTGAGCCAGTCTGCCATGGTGTTGGATGTCCCGGCCATGTGAGCAGCTTTGAGCAACCTGAGACAGGTTTCTGTCTGTATAGAATGGCGCTCACATCCCTATTCTTTTTTGGAACAATGAAGAAGATTGAGTAGACCCCTGAAGATTTCTGGCTCTTTGGAAGTGGCTCTATTGTGTCAATATCCAGCAAGTGTTTTGTAGCCTGAAGAAGAAATATATTGGTTAGAACTTGTATGAATCTGT